ACAACGTGGGTATAGGAACCATTATGCGAGATACGCACTGTATCGCCAGTGTGCATGCACAGCTCAGTGCGTTCTGTGCCAGCGCCCCGCACGTGTCGTGCGAAAGTGGGCAGCCAGCCAGGATGGGTTGTGCCGGCTCAACGCTCCTGGTCTCCAGTGCACCTCCAAGGTCCAGTATATCCTGCTCCGGTTCTACGCACTGTGTCACCAGTGCACCTTACCAGTCCTGTACGACCCGAACCTGCTCCTCGCACCAAGCCAGTGGTGTGTGTCCCCAGTCCGGCCCGGCCCGTTCCTGCTCCTCGCACCAGACTAGTGGTGCGTGTTCCCAGTCTGGCCCGGCCCGTGCCTGCTCCCCGCACCAAGCCAGTGGTGCGTGTTCCCAGTCCGGCCCGGCCCGTTCCTGTTCCTCGCACCAAGCCAGTGGTGCGTGTTCCCAGTCCAGTACGGCCCATGCCTGCTCCCTGCACCAAGCCAGTGGTGCGTGTCGCCAGCCCGGTACACCCCGTACCTGCTCCCCGCACCAAGCCAGTGGTGTGTGTCCCCAGTCCGGCCTGGCCCGTTCCTGCTCCTCGCACCAAGCCAGTGGTGCATGTTCCCAGTCTGGCCCGGCCCGTTTCTCGCACCAAGCCAGTGGTGCGTGTCGCCAGTCCGGCCCGGCCCGGCCCGTTCCTGCTCCTCGCACCAGACCAGTGGTGCGTGTTCCCAGTCCGGTACGGCCCGTGCCTACTCCCCGCACGAAGCCAGTGGTGCGTGTCGCCAGTCCGGCCCGGCCCATTCCTGCTCCTCACACCAGACCAGTGGTGCGTGTGTCCTGTCCGGCACGGGCCGTGCCCGTTCCACCGGTGCCTGGTCCGGCACCGGTCAGCTGCTCCACTCCGGAGCCAGAGCAGTCCGCTCCACCGGTGCCTGATCAAGCTCCGGTCAGCAGCTCCACTCCGGAGCCAGAGCGGTCCGCTCCACCGGTGCACAGTCCAGCTCCGGTCAGCAGCTCCACTCCGGAGCCAGAGTAATCCGCTCCAACGGTGCCTAGTCCAGCTCCAGTCAGCGGCTCCAGTCCGGAGCCAGAGCAATCCGCTCCACCGGTGCCCAGTTCAGCTCCGGTCAGCGGCTCCAGTTCAGACGTCAGACCCTCTTCAGGTTCGGGGTCTCCCACACCAGGGTCCAGACAGGGCTTGGTACATCGTGGGAGGAAGGAGAGGGGAAGCAGCGCGCCGAGGTCCAGACCAGACCAGGGGTGCAACGGGGAGGCTGAGAGAATGTGGTCGTCACGCCCGGAGCCAGATCCGCCTCCGAGGAGGAATTCCCACCCGGACCCTACCCTGTTATGTCAGGTTTGTGCGGTCGGAGTCCGCACCTTTGGGGGGTGGTACTGTCACGCCCTGACTTATGGGACTCTAGTATGTTGAGTCAGGGTGTGGAGTTCTATGTTGTATTTTCTATGTTCTCATTCTAGGTTGTGTATTTCTATGTTTGGCTGGGTGTGATTCCCAATCAGAGGCAGCTGTCGCTCGTTGTCTCCGATTGGGGATCATACTTAGGCAGCCTGTTTGCAGTCAGTAGTTGTGGGATCTTGTTCCGTGTGTAGGCTTGTTTTGTGTTTAGCCTGAGGACTTCACATTACGTTGGTTTGTTGTTTTGTTCGTGTGTTTATCGTTGAAATAAACATGTATGCATTTCACGCTTCACCTTGGTCTGACCCGTCCTTCAACTAACGTGACACTGCTATACAAATTGATGGAAAGTGGTGTTGAGGGAAAAACATACAACATTATAAAATCCATGTACACAAACAACAAGTGTGCGGTAAAAATTGGCAAAAAACACACACATTTCTTTCCTCAGGGCCGTGGAGTGAGACAGGGATGCAGTTTAAGCCCCACCCTCTTCAACATATATATCAACAAATTGGCGAGGGCACTAAAACAGTCTGCAGGACCCGGCCTCACCCTACTAGAATCTGAAGTCAAATGTCTACTGTTTGCTGATGATCTGGTGCTTCTGTTGCCAAACCAAAGAGGGCCTACAGCGGCACCTAGATATTCTGTACAGACCTGGGCCCTGACAATAAATCTCAGTAAGAAAAATAATGGTGTTCCAAAAAAGGTCCAGTTGCCAGGACCACAAAAACAAATTCCATCTAGACACCATTGCCCTAGAGCACACAAAAAAGTATACATATCTCGGCCTAAACATCAGCGCCACAGGTAACTTCCACAAAGCTGTGAACGATCTGAGAGACAAGTCAAGAAGGGCCTTCTACGCCATCAAAAGGAACATACAATTCGACATACCAATTAGGATCTGGCTAAAACATACTTGAATCAGTTATAGAACCCATTGCCCTTTATGGTTGTGAGGTCTGGGGTCCGCTCACCAACCAGGAATTCACTAAATGGGACAAACACCAAATTGAGACTCTGCATGCAGAATTCTGAAAAAACATCCTCTGTGTAAAAAAAAGAAGAAAATAGCCGTTAAATTCTACAACCAACAAACCTTCCATAACAAAGCCATCACCTACAGAGATGAACCTGGAGAAGAGTCCCCTAAGCAAGCTGGTCCTGGGGCTCTGTTCACAAACACAAACAGACCCCACAGAGCCCCAGGACAGCAATACAATTAGACCCAACCATATCATGAGAAATCAAAAACATAATTACTTGACACATTGGAAAGAATTAACAAAAAAACAGAGCAAACTAGAATGCTATCTGCCCAGACAGAGAGTACACAGTGGCAGAATACCTGACCACTGTGACTGACCCAAACTTAAGGAAAGCTTTGACTATGTACAGACTCAGTAAGCATAGCCTTGCTATTGAGAAAGGCCGCCGAAGGCAGACCTGGCTCTCAAGAGAAGACAGTCTATGTGCACACTGCCCACAAAATGAGGTGGAAACTGAGCTGCACTTCCTAGCCTCCTGCCTAATGCATGACCATATTAGAGACACATATTTACCTCAGATTACAGCGATCCACAAAGAATTTGAAAACAAACCCAATTTTGATAAACTCCCATATCTATTGGGTGAAATACCACAGTGTGCCATCACAGCAAGATTTGTGACCTGTTGCTACAAGAAAAGGGCAACCAGTGAAGAACAAACACCATTGTAAATACAACCCATATTTATGTTTATTTATTTTCCCTTTTGTACTTCAACTATTTGCACATCATTATAACACGGTATATAGACATAATGTGACATTTGAAATGTCTTTATTCTTTTGGAACTTCTGAGTGTAATGTTTACTGTTAATTTGACTTGTTTATTTGACTTTTGTTTATTATCTATATCACTTGCTTTGGCAATGTTAACATATGTTTCCGATGCCAATGAAGCCCTTAAATTGAAATTGAATTGAGAGAGAGAGGATGACTTAGAAGCAGATAGAGAGAGAATGAGAGAGAGAGAGAGAGAGAGAGAGAGAGAGAGAGAGAGAGAGAGAGAGAGAGAGAGAGAGAGAAGATTAGTTAGACACATTGCTGTAACATACCTTTGTAACAGATAGGGTGTCATTGCTGTAACATACCTGTGTAACATATAGGGTGTCATTGCTGTAACATACCTTTGTAACAGATAGGGTGTCATTGCTGTAACATACCTTTGTAACAGATAGGGTGTCATTGCTGTAACAGGCCTATGTAACAGATAGGTTGTCATTGTTGTAACAGGCCTGTGTAACAGATAGGGTGTCATTGCTGTAAAATACCTTTGTAACAGATAGGGTGTAATTGCAGTAACATACCTTTGTAACAGATAGGGTGTCATTTCTGTACATACCTTTGTAACAGATAGGGTGTCATTTCTGTAACATACCTTTGTAACAGATAGGGTGTCATTGCTGTAACATACCTTTGTAACAGATAGGGTGTCATTTCTGTAACAGACCTATGCAACAGATAGGGTGTCATTGCTGTAACATACCTATGTAACAGATAGGTTGTCATTGTTGTAACAGGCCTGTGTAACATATAGGCTCTCATTGCTGTAACATACCTTTGTAACAGATAGGGTGTCATTGATGTAACATACCTTTGTAACAGATAGGGTGTCATTTCTGTAAAATACCTTTGTAACAGATAGGGTGTAATTTCTGTAAAATACCTTTGTAACAGATAGGGTGTCATTTCTGTAACATACCTTTGTAACAGATAGGGTGTCATTTCTGTAACATGCCTTTGTAACAGATATGGTGTAATTGCTGTAACATACCTATGTAACAGATAGGGTGTAATTGCTGTAACACACCTATGTAACAGATAGGTTGTCATTGTTGTAAAGGCCTGTGCCACAGATAGGGTGTCATTGCTGTAACATAGATATGTAACAGATAGGGTGTCATTGCTGTAACAGACCTATGTAATAGATGGGTTGTCTTTGTTGTAACAGGCCTGTGTAACAGATAGCGTGTCATTGCTGTAACGGGCCTATGTAACAGATAGGGTGTCATTGCAGTGACATACCTGTGGAACAGATAAGGTGTCATTGCTGTAACATACCTTTGTAACAGATAGGGTGTCATTTATGTAACATACCTTTGTAACAGATAGGGTGTCATTGCTGTAACAAACATATGTAACAGATAGGGTGTCATTGCTGTAATAGACCTATGTAACAGATAGGTTGTCATTGTTGTAACAGGCCTGTGTAACAGATAGGGTGTCATTGCTGTAACAGGCCCATGTAACAGATAGGGTGTCATTGCAGTGACAGACCTGTGGAACAGATAAGGTGTCATTGCTGTAACATACCTTTGTAACAGATAGGGTGTCATTTATGTAACATACCTTTGTAACAGATAGGGTGTCATTGCTGTAACATACCTATGTAACAGATAGGTTGTCATTGCTGTAACATACCTTTGTAACAGATATAGTGTTATTTCTGTAAAATACCTTTGTAACAGATAGGGTGTAATTTCTGTAAAATACCTTTGTAACAGATAGGGTGTCATTTCGGTAACATACCTTTGTAACAGATAGGGTGTCATTTCTGTAACATGCCTTTGTAACAGATAGGGTGTAATTGGTGTAACATACCTTTGTAACAGATAGGGTGTCATTGCTTCAACAGACATATGTAACAGATAGGGTGTCATTGCTGTAACACACCTATGAATCAGATAGGTTGTCATTGTTGTAACAGGCCTGTGTAACAGATAGGGTGTCATTGCATTGACAGACCTGTGGAACAGATAGAGTTTCATTTCTGTAACAGACCTATGTAAAAGATAGCGTGTCATTGCTCTAACATACCTTTGTAACAGATAGGGTGTCATTGCTGTAACATACCTTTGTAAAAGATAGGGTGTCATTGCTGTAATATACCTTTGTAACAGATAGGGTGTCATTGGTGTAACATACCTTTGTAACAGATAGGGTGTAATTGGTGTAACATACCTTTGTAAAAGATAGGGTTTAATTGGTGTAACATAACTTTGTAACAGATAGGGTGTCATTTCTGTAACAGACCTATGTAACAGATTGGGTGCCATTGCTGTAACAGGTCTATGAAACAGAAAGGGTGTCATTGCTGTAACATTCCTTTGTAACAGATATGGTGTCATTGCTGTAACATATCTTTGTAACAGATAGGGTGTCATTGCTGAAAAAGGTCCATGTAACAGATAGGGTGTCATTGATGTAACAGACCTGTGTAACAGATAGGGTGTCATTGCTGTAACATGCCAATGTAACAGATAAGGTATCATTGTTGTAACAGATAGGGTGTCATTGCTGTAACATACCATTGTAACAGATAGGGTGTCATTGGTGTAACATACCTTTGTAACAGATAGGGTTTAATTGGTGTAACATAACTTTGTAACAGATAGGGTGTCATTTCTGTAACAGACCTACAGTGAGGGGAAAAAGTATTTGATCCCCTGCTGATTTTGTAAGTTTGCCCACTGACAAAGACATGATCAGTCTATAATTTTAATGGTAGGTTTATTTGAACAGTGAGAGACAGAATAACAACAAAAAAATCCAGAAAAACGCATGTCAGAAATGTTATGAATTGATTTGCATTTTAATGAGGGAAATAAGTATTTGACCCCTCTGCAAAACATGACTCAGTACTTGGTGGCAAAACCCTTATTGGCAATCACAGAGGTCATATGTTTCTTGTAGTTGGCCACCAGGTTTGCACACATCTCAGGAGGGATTTTGTTCCACTCCTCTTTGCAGATCTTCTCCAAGTCATTAAGGTTTCGAGGCTGACGTTTGGCAACTCGAACCTTCAGCTGCCTCCACAGATTTTCTATGGGATTAAGGTCTGGAGACTGGATAGGCCACTCCAGGACCTTAATGTGCTTATTCTTGAGCCACTCATTTGTTGCCTTGGCCGTGTGTTTTGGGTCATTGTCATGCTGGAATATCCATCCACGACCCATTTTCAATGCCCTGGCTGAGGGAAGGAGGTTCTCACCCAAGATTTGACAGTACATGGCCTCGTCCCTTTGATGCAGTGAAGTTGTCCTGTCCCCTTAGCAGAAAAACACCCCCAAAGCATAATGTTTCCACCTCCATGTTTGACGGTGGGGGTGGTGTTCTTGGGGTCATAGGTAGCATTCCTCCTCCAAACACGGCGAGTTGAGTTGATGCCAAAGAGCTCGATTTTAGTCTCATCTGACCACAACACTTTCACCCAGTTCTCCTCTGAATCATTCAGATGTTCATTGGCAAACTTCAGACGGCCCTGTATATGTGCTTTCTTGAGCAGGGGGACCTTGCGGGCGCTGCAGGATTTCAGGCCTTCATGGCGTAGTGTGTTACCAATTGTTTTCTTGGTGACTATGGTCCCAGCTGCCTTGAGATCATTGACAAGATCCTCCCGTGTAGTTCTGGGCTGATTCCTCACCGTTCTCATGATCATTGCAACTCCACAAGGTGAGATCTTGCATGGAGCCCCAGGCCGAGGGAGATTGACAGTTATTTTGTGTTTCTTCCATTTGCGAATAATCACATCAACTGTTGTCACCTTCTCTCCAAGCTGCTTGGCGATGGTCTTGTAGCCTATTCCAGCCTTGTGTAGGTCTACAATCTTGTCCCTGACATCCTTGGAGAGGTCTTTGGTCTTGGCCATGGTGGAAGTTTGGAATCTGATTGATTGATTGCTTCTGTGGACAGGTGTCTTTTATACAGGTAACAAGCTGAGATTAGGAGCACTCCCTTTAAGAGTGTGCTCCTAATTTCAGCTCATTAACTGTATAAAAGATACCTGGGAGCCAGAAATCTTTCTGATTGAGAGGGGGTCAAATACTTATTTCCCTCATTAAAATGCAAATCAATTTATAACATTTTTTACATACGTTTTTCTGGATTTTTTTGTTGTTATTCTGTCTCTCACTGTTCAAATTAACCTACCATTAAAATGATAGACAGATCATTTCTTTGTCAGTGGGCAAACGTACAAAATCAACAGGGGATCAAATACTTTTTTCCCTCACTGTATGTAACATATTGGGTGCCATTGCTCTAACAGGTCTATGTAACAGATAGGGTGTCATTGCTGTAACATTCCTTTGTAACAGATAGGTTGTCATTGTTGTAAAGGCCTGTATAACAGATAGGGTGTCATTGCTGTAACAGGCCTGTGTAACAGATAGGGTGTCATTGCTGTAACAGGCCTATGTAACAGATAGGGTGTCATTGCAGTGACAGACCTGTGGAACAGATAAGGTGTCAATGCTGTAACATACCTTTGTAACTGATAGGGTGTCATTTATGTAACATACCTTTGTAACAGATAGGGTGTCATTGCTGTAACATACCTATGTAACAGATAGGTTGTAATTGTTGTAACAGGCCTGTGTAACAGATAGGGTGTCATTGCTGTAACATACCTTTGTAACAGATAGGGTGTCATTTCTGTAAAATACCTTTGTAACAGATAGGGTGTAATTTATGTAAAATACCTTTGTAACAGATAGGGTGTCATTTCTGTAACATACCTTTGTAACAGATAGGGTGTCATTTCTGTAACATGCCTTTGTAACAGATAGGGTGTAATTGGTGTAACATACCTTTGTAACAGATAGGGTGTCATTGCTGTAACAGACATATGTAACAGATAGGGTGTCATTGCTGTAACACACCTATGTAACAGATAGGTTGTCATTGTTGTAACAGGCCTGTGTAACAGATAGGGTGTTATTGCTGTAACAGGCCTATGTAACAGATAGGGTGTCATTGCAGTGACAGACCTGTGGAACAGATAGAGTTTCATTTCTGTAACAGACCTATGTAAAAGATAGGGTGTCATTGCTCTAACATACCTTTGTAACAGATAGGGTGTCATTGCTGTAACATACCTTTGTAACAGATAGGGTGTCATTGGTGTAACATACCTTTGTAACAGATAGGGTGTAATTGGTGTAACATACCTTTGTAACAGATATTGTTTAATTGGTGTAACATAACTTTGTAACAGATAGGGTGTCATTTCTGTAACAGACCTATGTAACAGATTGGGTGCCATTGCTGTAACAGGTCTATGAAACATAAAGGGTGTCACTGCTGTAACATTCCTTTGTAACAGATAGGGTGTCATTGCTGTAACATACCTTTGTAACAGATAGGGTGTCATTGCTGAAAAAGGTCCATGTAACAGATAGGGTGTCATTGATGTAACAGACCTGTGTAACGGATAGGGTGTCATTGCTGTGACTGACCTGTGGAACAGATAGGGTGTAATTGCTGTAACAGACCTTTGTAACAGATATGGTGTCATAATGTGACAGACCTGTGGAACAGATAGGGTGTCATTGCTGTAACATGCCCATGTAACAGATAGGGTGTCATTTCTTTAATAGGCTTATGTAAAAGATAGGGTGTCCATGTTGTAACAGGCCTGTGTAACAGATAGGGTGTTATTTCTGTAACAGTCCTGTGTAACAGATAGGGTGTCATTGCTGTAACAGACCTGTGTAACAGATAGGGTGTCATTGCTGTAACATGCCAATGTAACAGATAGGGTGTCATTGTTGTAACAGGCCTGTGTAACAGATAGGGTGTCATTGCTGTAACATACCATTGTAACAGATAGGGTGTCATTGGTGTAACATACCTTTGTAACAGATAGGGTTTAATTGGTGTAACATAACTTTGTAACAGATAGGGTGTCATTTCTGTAACAGACCTATGTAACAGATTGGGTGCCATTGCTGTAACAGGTCTATGTAACAGATAGGGTGTCATTGCTGTAACATTCCTTTGTAACAGATAGGGTGTCATTGCTGTAACATACCTATGTAACAGATTGGGTGTCATTGCTGTACCACACCTATGTAACAGATAGGGTGTCATTGCTGTAACAGTCCTATGTAACAGATAGGGTGTCATTGCAGTGACAGACGTGTGTAACAGATAAGGTGTCAATGCTGTAACATACGTTTGTAACAGATAGGGTGTCATTTATGTAACATACATTTGTAACAGATAGGGTGTCATTGCTGTAACATACCTTTGTAAAATATAGGGTGTCATTGCTGTAACATACCTTTGTAACATATAGGGTGTCATTGGTGTAACATACCTTTGTAACAGATAGGGTGTAATTGGTGTAGCATACCTTTGTAACAGATAGGGTTTAATTGGTGTAACATAACTTTGTAACAGATAGGGTGTCATTTCTGTAACAGACTTATGTAACAGATTGGGTGCTATTGCTGTAACAGGTCTATGAAACAGAAAGGGTGTCATTGCTGTAACATTCCTTTGTAACAGATAGGGTGTCATTGCTGTAACATTCCTTTGTAACAGATAGGGTGTCATTGCTGAAAAAGGTCCATGTAACAGATAGGGTGTCATTGATGTAACATACCTGTGTAACAGATAGGGTGTCATTGCTGTGACTGACCTGTGGAACAGATAGGGTGTCATTGCTGTAATAGACCTTTGTAACAGATATGGTGTCATAATGTGACAGACCTGTGGAACAGATAGGGTGTCATTGCTGTAACATGCCCATGTAACAGATAGGGTGTCATTGCTTTAATAGGCTTATGTAAAAGATAGGGTGTCATTGTTGTAACAGGCCTGTGTAACAGATAGGGTGTTATTTCTGTAACAGTCCTGTGTAACAGATAGGGTGTCATTGCTGTAACATACCTTTGTAACAGATAGGGTTTAATTGGTGTAACATAACTTTGTAACAGATAGGGTGTCATTTCTGTAACAGACCTATGTAACAGATTGGGTGCCATTGCTGTAACAGGTCTATGAAACAGAAAGGGTTTCATTGCTGTAACATTCCTTTGTAACAGATAGGGTGTCATTGCTGTAACATACCTTTGTAACAGATAGGGTGTCATTGCTGAAAAAGGTCCATGTAACAGATAAGGTGTCATTGTTGTAACAGATAGGGTGTCATTGCTGTAACATACCATTGTAACAGATAGGGTGTCATTGGTGTAACATACCTATGTAACAGATAGGGTTTAATTGGTGTAACATAACTTTGTAACAGATAGGGTGTCATTTCTGTAACAGACCTACAGTGAGGGAAGAAAGTATTTGATCCCCTGCTGATTTTGTAAGTTTGCCCACTGACAAAGACATGATCAGTCTATAATTTTAATGGTAGGTTTATTTGAACAGTGAGAGACAGAATAACAACAAAAAAATCCAGAAAAACGCATGTCAAAAATGTTATGAATTGATTTGCATTTTAATGAGGGAAATAAGTATTTGACCCCTCTGCAAAACATGACTCAGTACATGGTGGCAAAACCCTTGTTGGCAATCACAGAGGTCATATGTTTCTTGTAGTTGGCCACCAGGTTTGCACACATCTCAGGAGGGATTTTGTTCCACTCCTCTTTGCAGATCTTCTCCAAGTCATTAAGGTTTCGAGGCTGACGTTTGGCAACTCGAACCTTCAGCTGCCTCCACAGATTTTCTATGGGATTAAGGTCTGGAGACTGGATAGGCCACTCCAGGACCTTAATGTGCTTATTCTTGAGCCACTCATTTGTTGCCTTGGCCGTGTGTTTTGGGTCATTGTCATGCTGGAATATCCATCCACAACCCATTTTCAATGCCCTGGCTGAGGGAAGGAGGTTCTCACCCAAGATTTGACAGTACATGGCCTCGTCCCTTTGATGCAGTGAAGTTGTCCTGTCCCCTTAGCAGAAAAACACCCCCAAAGCATAATGTTTCCACCTCCATGTTTGACGGTGGGGGTGGTGTTCTTGGGGTCATAGGTAGCATTCCTCCTCCAAACACGGCGAGTTGAGTTGATGCCAAAGAGCTCGATTTTGGTCTCATCTGACCACAACACTTTCACCCAGTTCTCCTCTGAATCATTCAGATGTTCATTGGCAAACTTCAGACAGCCCTGTATATGTGCTTTCTTGAGCAGGGGGACCTTGCGGGCGCTGCAGGATTTCAGGCCTTCATGGCGTAGTGTGTTACCAATTGTTTTCTTGGTGACTATGGTCCCAGCTGCCTTGAGATCATTGACAAGATCCTCCCGTGTAGTTCTGGGCTGATTCCTCACCGTTCTCATGATCATTGCAACTCCACGAGGTGAGATCTTGCATGGAGCCCCAGGCCGAGGGAGATTGACAGTTATTTTGTGTTTCTTCCATTTGCGAATAATCGCATCAACTGTTGTCACCTTCTCTCCAAGCTGCTTGGCGATGGTCTTGTAGCCTATTCCAGCCTTGTGTAGGTCTACAATCTTGTCCCTGACATCCTTGGAGAGCTCTTTGGTCTTGGCCATGGTGGAGAGTTTGGAATCTGATTGATTGATTGCTTCTGTGGACAGGTGTCTTTTATACAGGTAACAAGCTGAGATTAGGAGCACTCCCTTTAAGAGTGTGCTCCTAATTTCAGCTCATTACCTGTATAAAAGATACCTGGGAGCCAGAAATCTTTCTGATTGAGAGGGGGTCAAATACTTATTTCCCTCATTAAAATGCAAATCAATTTATAACATTTTTTACATGCGTTTTTCTGGACGTTCAAATTAACATACCATTAAAATGATAGACAGATAATTTCTTTGTCAGTGGGCAAACGTACAAAATCAACAGGGTATCAAATACTTTTTTCCCTCACTGTATGTAACATATTTTGTGCCATTGCTCTAACAGGTCTATGTAACAGATAGGGTGTCATTGCTGTAACATTCATTTGTAACAGATAGGGTGTCATTGCTGTAACATACCTATGTAACAGATTGGGTGTCATTGCTGTAACACACCTATGTAACAGATAGGTTGTCATTGTTGTAAAGGCCTGTATAACAGATAGGGTGTCATTGTTGTAACAGGCCTGTGTAACAGATAGGGTGTCATTGCTGTAACAGGCCTATGTAACAGATAGGGTGTCATTGCAGTGACAGACCTGTGGAACAGATAAGGTGTCAATGCTGTAACATACCTTTGTAACAGATAGGGTGTCATTTATGTAACATACCTTTGTAACAGATAGGGTGTCATTGCTGTAACATACCTATGTAACATATAGGTTGTCATTGTTGCAACAGGCCTGTGTAACAGATAGGGTGTCATTGCTGTAACATACCTTTGTAACAGATAGGGTGTCATTTCTGTAAAATACCTTTGTAACAGATAGGGTGTAATTTATGTAAAATACCTTTGTAACAGATAGGGTGTCATTTCTGTAACATACCTTTGTAACAGATAGAGTGTCATTTCTGTAACATGCCTTTGTAACAGATAGGGTGTAATTGGTGTAACATACCTTTGTAACAGATAGGGTGTCATTGCTGTAACAGACATATGTAACAGATAGGGTGTCATTGCTGTAACAGGTCTATGAAACAGAAAGGGTGTCATTGCTGTAACATACCTTTGTAAAAGATAGGGTGTCATTGCTGTAACACACCTATGTAACAGATAGGTTGTCATTGTTGTAACAGGCCTGTGTAACAGATAGGGTGTTATTGCTGTAACAGTCCTATGTAACAGATAGGGTGTCATTGCAGTGACAGACCTGTGGAACAGATAGAGTTTCATTTCTGTAACAGACCTATGTAAAAGATAGGGTGTCATTGCTCTAACATACATTTGTAACAGATAGGGTGTCATTGCTGTAACATACCTTTGTAAAAGATAGGGTGTCATTGCTGTAACATACCTTTGTAACAGATAGGGTGTCATTGGTGTAACATACCTTTGTAACAGATAGGGTGTAATTGGTGTAACATACCTTTGTAACAGATAGGGTTTAATTGGTGTAACATAACTTTGTAACAGATAGGGTGTCATTTCTGTAACAGACCTGTGTAACGGATAGGGTGTCATTGCTGTGACTGACCTGTGGAACAGATAGGGTGTCATTACTGTAACAGACCTTTGTAACAGATATGGTGTCATAATGTGACAGACCTGTGGAACAGATAGGGTGTCATTGCTGTAACATGCCCATGTAACAGATAGGGTGTCATTGCTTTAATAGGCTTATGTAACAGATAGGGTGTCATTGCTGTAACAGACCTGTGTAACAGATAGGGTGTCATTGCTGTAACATGCCAATGTAACAGATAAGGTGTCATTGTTGTAACAGATACGGTGTCATTGCTGTAACATACCATTGTAACAGATAGGGTGTCATTGGTGTAACATACCTTTGTAACAGATAGGGTTTAATTGGTGTAACATAACTTTGTAACAGATAGGGTGTCATTTCTGTAACAGACCTATGTAACAGATTGGGTGCCATTGCTCTAACAGGTCTATGTAACAGATAGGGTGTCATTGCTGTAACATTCCTTTGTAACAGATAGGGTGTCATTGCTGTAACATACCTATGTAACAGATTGGGTGTCATTGCTGTAACAGGCCTATGTAACAGATAGGGTGTCATTGCAGTGACAGACCTGTGGAACAGATAAGGTGTCAATGCTGTAACATACCTTTGTAACATATAGGGTGTCATTTATGTAACATAACTTTGTAACAGATAGGGTGTCATTGCTGTAACATACCTATGTAACAGATAGGTTGTCATTGTTGTAACAGGCCTGTGTAACAGATAGGGTGTCATTGCTGTAACATACCTTTGTAACAGATAGGGTGTCATTTCTGTAAAATACCTTTGTAACAGATAGGGTGTCATTTCTGTAACATACCTTTGTAACAGATAGGGTGTCATTTCTGTAACATGCCTTTGTAACAGATAGGGTGTAATTGGTGTAACATACCTTTGTAACAGATAGGGTGTCATTGCTGTAACAGACATATGTAACAGATAGGGTGTCATTGCTGTAACACACCTATGTAACAGATAGGTTGTCATTGTTGTAACAGGCCTGTGTAACAGATAGGGTGTTATTGCTGTAATAGGCCTATGTAACAGATAGGGTGTCATTGCAGTGACAGACCTGTGGAACAGATAGAGTTTCATTTCTGTAACAGACCTATGTAAAAGATAGGGTGTCATTGCTCTAACATACCTTTGTAACAGATAGGGTGTCATTGCTGTAACATACCTTTGTAAAAGATAGGGTGTCATTGCTGTAACATACCTTTGTAACAGATAGGATGTCATTGGTGTAACATACCTTTGTAACAGATAGGGTGTAATTGGTGTAACATACCTTTGTAACAGATAGGGTTTAATTGGTGTAACATAACTTTGTAACAGATAGGGTGTCATTTCTGTAACAGACCTATGTAACAGATTGGGTGCCATTGCTGTAACAGGTCTATGAAACAGAAAGGGTGTCATTGCTGTAACATTCCTTTGTAACAGATAGGGTGTCATTGCTGTAACATACCTTTGTAACAGATAGGGTGTCATTGCTGAAAAAGGTCCATGTAACAGATAGGGTGTCATTGATGTAACATATCTATGTAACAGATAGTTTGTCATAGCTGCAACAGCCCCATGTAACAGATAGGGTGTCATTGCTGTAACAGACCTGTGTAACGGATAGGGTGTCATTGCTGTGACTGACCTGTGGAACAGATAGGGTGTCATTGCTGTAACAGACCTTTGTAACAGATATGGTGTCATAATGTAACAGATCTGTGGAACAGATAGGGTGTCATTGCTGTAACATAACCATGTAACAGATAGGGTGTCATTGCTTTAATAGGCTTATGTAAAAGATAGGGTGTCATTGTTGTAACATGCCTGTGTAACAGATAGGGTGTTATTTCTGCAACAGTCCTGTGTAACAGATAGGGTGTCATTGCTGTAACAGACCTGTGTAACAGATAGGGTGTCATTGCTCTAACATGCCAATGTAACAGATAGGGTGTCATTGTTGTAACAGGCCTGTGTAACAGATAGGGTGTCATTGCTGTAACATACCATTGTAACAGATAGGGTGTCATTGGTGTAACATACCTTTGTAACAGATAGGGTTTAATTGGTGTAACATAACTTTGTAACAGATAGGGTGTCATTTCTGTAACAGACCTATGTAACAGATTGGGTGCCATTGCTGTAACAGGTATATGTAACAGATAGGGTGTCATTGCTGTAACATTCCTTTGTAACAGATAGGGTGTCATTGCTGTAACATACCTATGTAACAGATTGGGTGTCATTGCTGTAACACACCTATGTAACAGATAGGTTGTCATTGTTGTAAAGGCCTGTGCAACAGATAGGGTGTCATTTCTGTAACATACCTTTGTAACAGATAGGTTGTCATTGCTGTAACAGACTTATGTAACAGATAGTGTGTCACTGCTGTAACATACCTTTGTAACAGATAGGGTGTCATTGGTGTAACAGACCTATTAACATATAGGGTGTCATTGCTGTAACAGACCTATGTAACAGATAGGTTGTCATTGTTGTAACAGGCCTGTGTAACAGATAGGGTGTTATTGCTGTAACAGGCCTATGTAACAGATAGGGTGTCATTGCAGTTACAGACGTGTGGAACAGATAAGGTGTCAATGCTGTAACATACGTTTGTAACAGATAGGGTGTCATTTATGTAACATACCTTTGTAACAGATAGGGTGTCATTGCTGTAACATACCTTTGTAAAAGATAGGGTGTCATTGCTGTAACATACCTTTGTAACAGATAGGGTGTCATTGGTGTAACATACCTTTGTAACAGATAGGGTGTAATTGGTGTAACATACCTTTGTAACAGATAGGGTTTAATTGGTGTAACATAACTTTGTAACAGATAGGGTGTCATTTCTGTAACAGACCTATGTAACAGATTGGGTGCCATTGCTGTAACAGGTCTATGAAACAGAAAGGGTGTCATTGCTGTAACATTCCTTTGTAACAGATAGGGTGTCATTGCTGTAACATTCCTTTGTAACAGATAGGGTGTCATTGCTGAAAAAGGTCCATGTAACAGATAGGGTGTCATTGATGTAACAGACCTGTGTAACGGATAGGGTGTCATTGCTGTGACTGACCTGTGGAACAGATAGGGTGTCATTGCTGTAACAGACCTTTGTAACAGATATGGTGTCATAATGTGACAGACCTGTGGAACAGATATTGTGGCATTGCTGTAACATGCCCATGTAACAGATAGGGTGTCATTGCTTTAATAGGCTTATGTAAAAGATAGGGTGTCATTGTTGTAACAGGCCTGTGTAACAGATAGGGTGTTATTTCTGTAACAGTCCTGTGTAACAGATAGGGTGTCATTGCTGTAACAGACCTGTGTAACAGATAGGGTGTCATTGCTGTAACATGCCAATGTAACAGATAAGGTGTCATTGTTGTAAAAGATACGGTGTCATTGCTGTAACATACCATTGTAACAGATAGGGTGTCATTGGTGTAACATACCTTTGTAACAGATAGGGTTTAATTGGTGTAACATAACTTTGTAACAGATAGGGTGTCATTTCTGTAACAGACCTATGTAACAGATTGGGTGCCATTGCTCTAACAGGTCTATGTAACAGATAGGGTGTCATTGCTGTAACATTCCTTTGTAACAGATAGGGTGTCATTGCTGTAACATACCTATGTAACAGATTGGGTGTCATTGCTGTAACACACCTATGTAACAGATAGGTTGTCATTGTTGTAAAGGCCTGTGCAACAGATAGGGTGTCATTGTTGTAACAGGCCTGTGTAACAGATAGGGTGTCATTGCTGTAACAGGCCTATGTAACAGATAGGGTGTCATTGCAGTGACAGACCTGTGGAACAGATAAGGTGTCAATGCTGTAACATACCTTTGTAACAGATAGGGTGTCATTTATGTAACATACCTTTGTAACAGATAGGGTGTCATTGCTGTAACATACCTATGTAACAGATAGGTTGTCATTGTTGTAACAGGCCTGTGTAACAGATAGGGTGTCATTGCTGTAACATACCTTTGTAACAGATAGGGTGTCATTTCTGTAAAGTACCTTTGTAACAGATAGGGTGTAATTTATGTAAAATACCTTTGTAACAGATAGGGTGTCATTTCTGTAACATGCCTTTGTAACAGATAGGGTGTAATTGGTGTAACATACCTTTGTAACAGATAGGGTGTCATTGCTGTGACTGACCTGTGGAACAGATAGGGTGTCATTGCTGTAACAGACCTTTGTAACAGATATGGTGTCATAATGTGACAGACCTGTGGAACAGATATTGTGGCATTGCTGTAACATGCCCATGTAACAGATAGGGTGTCATTGCTTTAATAGGCTTATGTAAAAGATAGGGTGTCATTGTTGTAACAGGCCTGTGTAACAGATAGGGTGTTATTTCTGTAACAGTCCTGTGTAACAGATAGGGTGTCATTGCTGTAACAGACCTGTGTAACAGATAGGGTGTCATTGCTGTAACATGCCAATGTAACAGATAAGGTGTCATTGTTGTAAAAGATACGGTGTCATTGCTGTAACATACCATTGTAACAGATAGGGTGTCATTGGTGTAACATACCTTTGTAACAGATAGGGTTTAATTGGTGTAACATAACTTTGTAACAGATAGGGTGTCATTTCTGTAACAGACCTATGTAACAGATTGGGTGCCATTGCTCTAACAGGTCTATGTAACAGATAGGGTGTCATTGCTGTAACATTCCTTTGTAACAGATAGGGTGTCATTGCTGTAACATACCTATGTAACAGATTGGGTGTCATTGCTGTAACACACCTATGTAACAGATAGGTTGTCATTGTTGTAAAGGCCTGTGCAACAGATAGGGTGTCATTGTTGTAACAGGCCTGTGTAACAGATAGGGTTTCATTGCTGTAACAGGCCTATGTAACAGATAGGGTGTCATTGCAGTGACAGACCTGTGGAACAGATAAGGTGTCAATGCTGTAACATACCTTTCTAACAGATAGGGTGTCATTTATGTAACATACCTTTGTAACAGATAGGGTTTCATTGCTGTAACATACCTATGTAACAGATAGGTTGTCATTGTTGTAACAGGCCTGTGTAACAGATAGGGTGTCATTGCTGTAACATACCTTTGTAACAGATAGGGTGTCATTTCTGTAAAATACCTTTGTAACAGATAGGGTGTAATTTATGTAAAATACCTTTGTAACAGATAGGGTGTCATTTCTGTAACATGCCTTTGTAACAGATAGGGTGTAATTGGTGTAACATACCTTTGTAACAGATAGGGTGTCATTGCTGTAACAGACATATGTAACAGATAGGGTGTCATTGCTGTAACAGACATATGTAACAGATAGGGTGTCATTGCTGTAACACACCTATGTAACAGATAGGTTGTCATTGTTGTAACAAGCCTGTGTAACAGATAGGGTGTTATTGCTGTAACAGGCCTATGTAACAGATAGGGTGTCATTGCAGTGACAGACCTGTGGAACAGATAGGGTGTCATTTCTGTAACAGACCTATGTAAAAGATAGGGTGTCATTGCTCTAACATATCTTTGTAACAGATAGGGTGTCATTGCTGTAACATACCTTTGTAAAAGATAGGGTGTCATTGCTGTAACATAACTTTGTAACAGATAGGGTGTCATTGGTGTAACATACCTTTGTAACAGATAGGATGTCATTGCTGTAACAGGCCTATGTAACAGATATGGTGTCATTGTTGTAACAGGCCTGTGTAACAGATAGGGTGTCATTGCTGTAACAGACCTATGTAACAGATAGGTTGTCATTGTTGTAACAGGCCTATGTAACAGATATGGTGTCGTTGTTGTAACAGGCCTGTGTAACAGATAGGTTGTCATTGCTGTAACAGGCCAATGTAACATATAGGGTGTCATTTCGGTAACAGACCTATGTAACAGATAGGGTGTCATTGCTGTAACAGACCTATGTAACAGATAGGGTGTCATTGCTGTAACAGATCTATGGAACAGATATGGTGTCATTGCTGTAACAGACCTATTTAACAGATAGGGTGTCATTTCTGTAACATACCTTTGTAACAGATAGGGGGTCCTTTCTGTAACAGACCTATGTAACAGATAGGTTGTCATTGTTGTAACAGGCCTGTGTAACAGATAGGGTGTCATTTCTGTAACATACCTTTGTAACAGATAGGTTGTCATTGCTGTAACAGACTTATGTAACAGATAGTGTGTCACTGCTGTAACATACCTTTGTAACAGATAGGGTGTCATTGCTGTAACAGACCTATTAACATATAGGGTGTCATTGCTGTAACAGACCTGTGTAACAGATAGGTTATCATTGCTGTAACAGACCTGTGTAACAGATAGGGTGTCATTGCTGTAACAGACCTGTGTAACAGATATGGTGTCATTGTTGTAACAGGCCTATGTAACAGATATGGTGTCTCTGTTGTAACAGGCATGTGTAACATATAGGGTGTCATTGTTGTAACAGAGCTGTGTAACAGATAGGGTGTCATTGCTGTAACAGACCTGTGTAACAGATATGGTGTCATTGCTGTAACAGACCTGTGTAACAGATAGGGTGTCATTGCTGTAACAGACCTGTGTAACAGATAGGGTGTCATTGCTGTAACAGACCTGTGTAACAGATAGGGTGTCATTGCTGTAACAGACCGTAGCTAGCCCTGAACTGTTAGTGTTATTCTACCAATATTTCACAGCCCCATATGTCTTGGTCTCCTCCCAGATGGCACCCTGTGCCCTATGTAGTACACTACTTTCGACCAGGAATACGGTGCCATTTGGGACACAGACATAATCTTTAGTAACTGTCAGAAGATAGGCAAGCAGACACAGGTGTAAGTCTCAAATGGCACCCTATTTCCCGTATAGTGCACTACCTGTGACCATAGCCTCGGCCCATTTGAGAGACAGTCAGAATTGAGGTCAATTCAATTTCAACGGCCACAATTCAGGAAAATTATTGAAATTCCATTCCATTTCAAGAGGGAAGAAATCCTATACGACTATACATGTCGTTGCCCCGTGTAGCTTAGTTGGTAGAGCGTGGCGCTTGCAATGTCAGGGTTGTGGGTTCGATTCCCACAGGGGGCCTGTAAGTCGCTCTGGATAAGAGTGTCTACTAAAATGTAAAATGTTTGAACTGAAACCTAATTTAATCTCCTGAACGGATTGAAATAAAATGGCATCAAGCCAAGCTTTAGATTCACAGATATTAAACTGTTGGGTTATTATGGGTCAAGGCTTGATCGGTCAAGGTAATGTAAAGTATTCAGGCAGCTGTGGCCTGACAGGACAGTCGTGCAGTAGCAGTGCAGTAGCAGAGCAGTACTCCTCTCTTCTCTGTGTCAAGCAGGGATCAGCTCAAAGGGAATATGTTAAATGGACGCTTGGCTGTTTCCGATCACTTTGCCTTCTGATGTGCTAAATTATTGATGCTAATCGCCTATAGAGAGAGGAGCTGGAGAGGACATGGACTCTCACTAGCAGACAGTCAAGGGGGATTATACTGCACTGAAGGCCAGTAGAGGTGTGTGTGTGTGTGTTTGATAGTTAACATTTTACTACCTGACTCATTGTGTTGTCATTGTACAGAGAGGTGTGTATTGTTATTTTATTGGCATTCAGCAAAGCTCACACACACACACACACACACACACACACACACACACACACACACACACAAACACACAAACACACAAACAAAAACACTCACACTCACACACACACACACACACACACACACACACATACACACACACCCAACTGGAGGATGTCATGGCTGGCGTGGTGTAGCTTTCAGAGCAGATATCAAACAGAGAAGTGATAAGACAACAAAGCCCTTAGGGATCATCATGTGATATGAACCTCGTTCAACTGGAGCATCATGGGATATGAACTCTGTTCAACTGGAGCATCATGGGATATGAACTCTGTTCAACTGGAGCATCATGGGATATGAACTCTGTTCAACTGGAGCATCATGGGATATGACTCTGTTCAACTGGAGCATCATGGGATATGAACTCTGTTCAACTGGAGCATCATGGGATATGAACTCTGTTCAACTGGAGCATCATGGGATATGAACTCTGTTCAACTGGAGCAT